TGTTACAAAACATGCAAGGTATTTGTTTTTGTTTTTCTCAAAATGTATTTATCATAAAGACATGCGTTTTTTTTTTAAACAAAAATTACAAAATCATAGAATATTAAGAAATTTTTTATTTTATTTTTTTCGCCGTAATTTTTTAACCAGGGGGCGCCAAAGTGGGCATTGCAAAATCGATCTCGTTTGCGGTGCCACAGATAAATCCGCTGCGCATCGCCTGCAACAAAAAAAAACGAAACTACGTTGAAGAAGAAGTTTGAATCCAGTCCCCCTACCAAAATGAAAGAAAAAAAGCAAGAAGGAAAAAAATGGCAGCTATTTAAAAAAAAGTGTCCAAAAAGGCCTTTGTTTTGGGACGAGAAGGTTTGCAAAATTTTTTTGCGTAATGTTATGAAGTTGTTTGAGGTAGGGGGACTAGGTATTGCAGTGGTGAACAAATTAAAAAAAAATGCAAGTCGTTCCGACTTGTAGTTTTTTTTTAATTTGTGGCACCGCATTGAAAAAAGTCAATTTGAGAAAAACGTATTTAAAGTTTTTAATATAATGTACTAAATACACCATTTAATTTAATGTACGAAATACACCATGGTCTTCAAAGATGCTGACACATTAAAAAGGTCATGTGCATGATGTATTATAATGAAAAAGAGGCAGCTGGCATACAATAGCTCGCGGAACGATAAAAAAACGCTTTCAGAGGATCATACGTATAGATATATATATATATATATATATATATATATATATATATAACTTCTTCAAAAAAATAGATATTGAGATGATTTTTTTTTTAAATAATTCTAAGGTTTTTAGCTTTCATAATATTAAAAAATCTCAAAACCGAAACAAAAAAATATAAAAAAGAACAACCCCCTTAAGGCAATTAAGGCATTGTGCCTTAAGGCAAATTGCTGGAACTTCCCGTACCAAAAATTATTATTTTTTTAAAAACGATTAACATTTTTGAAAAAAAATTACTTCAAAGAAATAAGATTTTTGACAAACAATTAGACAAAAAATTACTTTTTTTTGAAAAAAAAAAATTTTTTAATTTTTTTTTCTTTTAAATTTTTTTTTGAAAAAAAAGGTTTTCTTTAGAAAGATCTAAACTTTTTTTCAAAGCAATCGTACTGCTTTAACTGCATAAAGACGAGATATCAAACCGCGTAGCGCCGCGTCGACGTATAACGCGTAAACATTGGTACGGAACCCATAGGAATATAAACCAAAATTATACTTATTGTTAAAATCTCTATAAAATATCTGATAATTTGATGCGCATATGTCTAATGACCATTTTTGACCGCCAAATGGCTCATTTTTTTACTTTTTTCTCCATATCTCCGAAACCGCTAGACCTACCTTCATGAAAATTTTATCGATTCCTCATCTTGTCAATACAAGTGAAATGTTTTTTGAATTATTCAAATCGGACGCTCCGTTCTCTTATATACTGAGTTACCGTTTTTGGCACTTTTTGTCCCGTATCTTCGGAACGGCTAGACCTGCCTTCGCCAAAAACTAATCAGCACGTCTCCTTATCAATACAAATCGAATGTTTTTTGAATTATTCAAATCGGTTGATCCGTGTTCCCGAAATCCTCGACGAAAATTTGTATCCGCACATACATACACACACGTACATACATACATACATACACACACACACACATACATCCATTTTTTCTAAGGTATGCCAAAATGTTCAGGAACCTTTGAAACGTAAAGATATATAAAAATTTTCATTTTCGATTTTTTTGCGATTACTATAACTTGCCCTACGGGAAGTTAAGTTTTTTAAGTTCACTAACGCAACGATATAAAAATGTAATTTTACACATATTAACGGATTAAATTAACGTTAACTTGCGTTAATTCTTCCGAAATGTAACGCTTTAACGTTTAACGAAGTTAACTTTTTTTGTAGCGGATTAGCGATTAACGAAGTTAACTATTTGATTAACGGTGCCCAGCTATGTATATATATATATTCAATATATATATATATATATATATATATATATATATATATATATATATATATATTGAATGGTAGAATCTTGATTATCATTTTCATTCTGATCATGTTATCATATTTCTGTACATTATTATTTTTTGCAATTAATTTATTATTTAAGAAAAATCTATTTTCTTTTCCTAAACATATTGTTTGCTTAAATCTCATCAAGATCATGTTTCTTGACAGATGTCCTGAAGATGGAACGTACCTAGTTCCGAAACGTCGACAGTAAATAAATAAATAAATAAAGAAATTGTTTATTAAAAACTTTTCTTGTTTTTTTATGACTTGGATTCTTGTTCGAAACTCTACAGTATATATATATATATATATATATATATATATATATATATATATATATCTGTATCTACTGTCGATATCATTGAATCTGAAGTCCAACTGCCAATCAGTAAGACATCGATATGATGTATGAGCCGCTCAGTGCTCACATTGACTAACTCCATTTTTTGAAAATACTGAGATATTACGAAAGTACTTGGTATAATCAAAACTTTTTGTGATCATAAGAACTTTCCTGAATCATAAAAATTAGTACTGTGAAACGAAACTTTTTTTTGTCCACTGAATAATAAGTCATTTATTTCAGAAGGCTTTTTGATTAACTCCATTCTGTAGTGCATATGTTCCGGCTGGGAAGAATTTCGGGTTTCGAATTAATGAATTACGGATAAGAATTTAATAAAAATATAAACCATATGATTGTTTAGCAAAGAACTGTAGGGTCCGTGGATCTCAATAAAATTCATCTTGTTTTATAAAGGACATCAAGGATGTTACAAACTTTGAAAAAATAACATACTAAAATTCATATATTCGGCAGAACAGGAATAAATAAATGTCTTAAGTTTATTGAAACTTGTTTAAAGTGCAGAAATAAGAGCCAAGTCATCTGAAATGAAATTTCTGGTCAGTGGAAATAGCTATTTACCTCAAAATTTGGCCATAATTGAGTCACGTGCGAAAAAAAATCGTACAATATAATAAAAACACGTAAAAAGAAAGCGCCATTTTGGTTAATCCAATTGTTTCACCAAGATTTTTCATGAACAAAGTCATTAAAACAATCACTAACAGAAAAGTAACCATCACAGGGTGTTTAGTAAATAGATAGTAAATCGGCGTTCCAAACACATTATTGGGACATTATTGGGGCGTTCTAAATGAGCGAAAACAGGATTTTTCAAAATTCGACCCAATCTTTGGGTGAATGCACGGGACATCAGAATTCATTTTAGAGATATGGTGTCTTCGGCAAAGTATCTTATTTTGATCCCTAGTACACGAAAATCATATGTGCGTATGCGACTTTTTTCACCCGTATATATATATATATATATATATATATATATATATATATATATATTATATAATTTATATATAATCTATATGTTATACCATTCATTTATATTAAAATTTGAAATAATAACCCTCTTGCGGGGTGTGCGTTTGCAAACTCAAATGCAACATTTTGCGAAATGAATTTGTATGAAAGTGTAAGTGAGAATTGAGCGAAATCATTATCTTTTTATAATTAATATTTATATATTTCATTTTCTACGTTCGATTTTATCTTTTATATTTGACTTATGAAAATCGATTTAAATTTATAAAACAATAGAAATAAGAATTTAATAAAGTGTCTTCTTGAATCAAATTACTTAGTTTCACAATTTTAAGCTTTGAAAGATTTGGCTAATAATTAACCTCCCGTAGGGTAAGTTATAGTAATCGTCCAAAAAGTCATAAATGAAAATGAAAATGTTTGCATATCTTAACGTTTTAGAGGCTTTTGAACATTGTGGCATACTTCAGAAAAAATGGTTGTAAATCATGCAGGCGGAGTCCGACGATGATCACATTGACGAGCAAATTATTACAAAATTTATTAGATGTTTACAATACAATTTTTCGTTATTCGTTTCGTATATTCCTATTGACAAGGAGACGTGCTGATTAGTTTTTGACAGGTCCAGCCGTTTGGAGATACGGAGCAAAAAGTTCAGAAAATAGTAATTAAGTTTTTGAGAGAATGGAGCCAGCAAGTTTAATAAAAATGCCATTTTGCGGTGGAAAATAAGATATTTATGACAGGATGGATCAGCCAAACTGAATGAGTAACGAAACGTTTATAAAATTTTAAATTATTATATTACATACACAGGTAGGAAATGAGTGCTTATATTATCAAATATTTAAAAATTTTAATTGCCTCAAAAATATGTGTATAGTTTAAAATGAAACAGATATTTGAGGAGCATAAAGTGTTGGTACATGAGAGAAATTTGAAATAATTGAACAAATGATCATATTTAAGATGGGAGAGCATACTTATAGAGGCGTTATAAAGCTAACTTTTTTTTGAATAAGCGTTTAATAAGAGTAAGAAAAATGAATAATGTAATGTTACTCCGCAATGACTATTTGTGAGATTATTCCGTGATGGCGATTATTGTGCGCATCAATGGCGAAGTTGATATTTGTTGACTGTGGCAAAGAACTGGCCCAATCTAAATCAACCTTGACTTTCTTTGGTCTTCAAGAGTGTGTCAATCGACTTATCTATGCTCTTACGACATTCAACTTTTATTCAATGTTTTTGTTTAGGTAATCAGAACACATAATCCATGATCCATATTTTACGTAGACAAGGTCTTTATCAAACATCTAATAAATTTTGTAATAATTTGCTCGTCAATGTGATCATCGTCGGACTCCGCCTGCATGATTTTAAAATTTAGTATTGATTAGATTGATGCGAATATGTTATCCGCATATGTGAATTTCTTGTAAGGTTATTTGATTTTTTATCAGCAGTGCAATGATACTAACAAATTACTACAAATGTCATTTCTTCTGCGGTAATAAAAATCGGATGTGTTGATGAAATAAAAGTTTTCTATTTCATAGTTTTAAATTGTATTTCAAACTTATTATTTACCTTTATTTATAATTTCAGGTGGATTTAATATATCCCAGTCCTGGACGAGTCGAAATTGAACCTGAGTCTTTATTAGAAACAATTTTGCTAGTTGTGAGGGAAGCCATTAAAGGTAACCGTATTTTATGGTATTATGTTATATATATATTTGCTTATATTTTTTGTTGGTATGTCGAACGAAATCTATCTCCATGAGACATTCGATAATTATAATGCAGTTCAAAAGAATAAAAAATTGAAAAATTTTCCCAGTGGTAAATCTTTTGATTATGAACGGTATTTAATTAAAAGTTTTAGCATATTAACTAATACTATAAATATGAATCTAGAAACAAATAAACCAAAGTGGGTTATCAATTCAAATTTTAATATTCTGTGCAATTTGGCGTTATATATACATATATATATATATATATATATATATATATATATATATATTTGGGTGGTGGGCAATTTAAATTGGAAGCATTATTTGGAAACTAGTGTTGCATGGCATCGTGCCTTAAGGCAATTTGTACTTCCCGTACAAAAACTTTAATTTTTTAAAAAAGCTTTAATAATTTTAAACTCCTCCGAAACCGCTAGACGTGTTTTCTCTAAAAATTGAATCAGTTTTTTATTTTGGTAATACAAATAAAATGTTTTTTGAATCATTTAAATCGGGCGCTGCGTTCTTTCAAATACTGAATTACCATTTTTGGCACTTTTTGCCTTGTAGCTTCAAAGCGGCTAGGCCTGCCTTTGCCAAAAACTAATCAGCACGTAATACTAATCGAATATTTTTTGAATTATTCAAATCGGTTGATCCGTGTTCGTCAACAAAAATTTATATCCGCACACACATATACACACACATACACACACATATATTTTCTAAGGTATGCCAAAAAGTTCAGAAGGCTTTGAAACGTAAAGATGTTTGCCAATGAAGAACTGATGAAATTTTTAAGAAGACGGATTAGCGGCTTCGGAGATCCAATAAAAAAGTGAAAAAAATGCTATTTGGCGGACAAAAATGATCGCATCAAATTATCACATATTTTATGGATATTTTAATAGTACGAACAAATATTGTTTACTTTCCTATGGGTTTCGTACCAACGTTTAACCGTTATACGGCGACGCAGCGCCCTCGCGCTTTGATATTTTGTTTTTACGCAGCTAACGTATCGCGATTACTTTGAAAAAAAGTTCAAAATTTCCAAAATATTTCAAAGTATAAAAAAAATTATTTTTTTCAAAAAGGTACATTTTTTCAGAGTTTTAAAAGAAAATTGAATCTTTTTTGAAAATATCAATTTTTGTTAGGGGGAATTCTAATAATTTGCCTTAAGGCACGATGCCATGCACCACAAGTTCATTTCTTTATTAATTATGAGCAAGTGATCAATCGTTAATAAATATATTATGGCGTACTCTTGTGAAGGACCTATTACCAGACCGGTTCTATTACACCGAGTCTGTCCTCGGTTGTATCAGTAACATTCATATAGTTAAATACATTAGTTTATTTATATACACACACCCATATATATATATATATATATATATATATATATATATATTAACAAAGTCTAATAATCGGGCATAACATCAATAAAAAACAATTGTTTTTTATTGATGTTATGCCCGATTATTAGACTTTGTTAATACATTTGTCAACATCAAATTCAGAATCATACAATATACATATATATATATATATATATATATATATATATATATATATATATATTTTGTCTGTTTATGCAACGGACAAAATAGATTTTTGTCTGTTACCTAAACTATAAAATTAAATACTAAATTTGAGAAATCTCAGATAGATAGTAACGCTTTATTTTATATTTACACTGGTACTATGTTTTTTAACCTTTGACCGCAAAATTCGTATTTATAACCACGTACTTTGGTACTTCTCCATTATAAAAGTCCGGTTTGATTTGTTTATTAACAGTTTCAATGTCGTTTTGTCAATTATTAACGCAGTGTTTCAGTCCAGTTTTTGTTACAATGAATCTTTATGATGCATTTATATATATATATATATATATATATATATATATATATATATATATATATATATATATATACGTATAATATGTAATAATTATAATATCATTTATGCATTTCAATATGCATAAAAATCTCAAATTGACAAAAACTTGGGAATCAAAATCAATTTTGTAATTATTTTTGAAGAGAAAATATAGAATTCTTTGAATATGTTTATTCTTATATAAAAATAATGCAGTGAAGTACGATTAATATGAAATAAGAGCAAATCTTTGTGTATAATATTTTTCACAAAATAATAATACCTCACATTCTTTTATTATTTTCCTTTCGAGCATTAATTATACATTAGGTAGTTTGATTGGCATACTATTACTTTTACACAGTGGTGTTGTCGAGCCGGAACATCGTTTCGGCAAATCATTTTTGGGCCGGAAAGCGTTCCGGCAAATTTTTTTTTAAAAAAATCGCTACATACAGAAAATGATTTAATAAATTAATTTTATAAATTATAATTCAACTAATTTTTATTAAATGTTCCTATTATTGTAATAAACATACATATATGTGCACAAAATGGGTTTTGTAATAATTTTTGTTGATTTTCTTTTCGAACGGAACCGGAACAAACATGAGAACCGATTTTTAAATTTTAGCGTTCCGCAAAAAAAATATTAGCACAACACCACTGCTTTTACATAATTATAAAATCAAAATTGTGTAAATGTTATAATACTAAATATTTTTTAGCTGGTTGTATACCATTGAAAGAGCTCATTTACGGTCAAACATTATCGTATACAGAATATAGAATACAAAATAGCATTTTGAGACATTATATACCTGGAAAGTCCTAAAACTGCCTGTGAGACGAGAAAAAAAACTTCTTTCGACCCAAATCTTTGTATTAATAAAAAAATCTCAAGCAAATATCTGTACATGTTAACAGATATAGTATCAGTTCAGGGAAGTCGGATATGACAAATCCTGTGAGACAACTCCACTCGGATTCACTCCGGAGTGATAACTCTGAATACCCATCTCTAATATATATATATATATATATATATATATATATATTATTACGACGATTAGCTGAAAATCGTATATGCGTGTGCGTGTGTGCAAAATATACTGTAATGCTATTATAATATTTTAATATACTATAATGAGTCTTAACGGCAACAGTTACATCAATAAGTTTTACGAATTTTTATTTTAAGTTAATTTAAATTTGATATGTTTTTGGAATAATACATATATATTGTATGGAAACAAATCCATATTGTAAAATCCTGTTCCCTTTTTTTTATTTTTGTTCATAGTTCCTTTTAATACATTCTATTTTTCAAGTTTTTGTGTCCACGCTCGTGCGTCTTGTGCATCAGGTTTTGGTTTTCAATTTGATAGTAAATAAGATTCAAAATTCAATAGTATTTATTTTCCTATTTTTAGGCTATGAAATATTTTCTTAACAATGCCATTATATTGATTTTTTTTGTTAATATTTAAAGTAATGTTTTAAATCTACATTCATTATAAAACAGATTTATGTCAGAAAACGTTAGATAAATTATAAACTTTTCATGTTGTTCATGTTCCAATTACATGTTGTGCGGGTGGAGCATGGTATATCTGATAAGTTTATTTACCTCAAATATATGATAGAAATCACAACTCAATCTCTTTTGTACTGTATCCTTTATATTTCGTTGTTGCGAAGCTTTTCAGAAGTTAGTTATTCAAAGTTGCCTTGATCATTAGTTGATACTCTATCGATGTCCTAAGAGACTCATCCTTTAGACATTTTCATTTTCGACATCGTAATAATTATATCCATTCTATGCTTTCTTTTGAAGTAAAACTTCTTTAGGCGCGACTAGGGTCTCAATCCGTACAAGTGCAACGAAAAAAGCGTTACGGCCGAGTCGAGTGCCAATGATTCGTCATTCGTTCTCGATTTCTATACGGGTCGATTGTGATTGGTCGTCGTGTCGCTTGAGTATGATTGCTTCTATTGTATAGTGAAAATAATAAAACAAATGAAAATTCTGACATGTAAGAAACGTAAGTTTGTACCACATATTTTTGAGGTTATTAAAATGGAAATTATTTTTATAGGTAAGACAGATACTATAGCTGTTCAAAGAATGAAACTGTATCGCTAGCGAAAATTTAAAAAAAAAAGACAAGCAGTTAATGAATGTATGTTAATTTTAATTACAAACGTTTACAAAGTTTAATTACAAATTACAAAGTTCTTCAAACACAATTACATAAGTAAAATTGTGAAAAAAAAATTATTTAGGCGTTGTTTAACATAAAAATTATCTGATTTTTATAGATATTAAAAAGTATTAAAGGAGTACAGCTTTTTTCTATCATGCCGAAGATATATCTTTTTCAGAATAATATCTCAGACACTTTTGAAAGTTTAGAGGAAGTCTACATGTTTTTCGATTATGATGGCTATTAAGTATTACAAAGTAGCATATTTTTATGAATAATTAAGAATAAATTGATATTCAGATTTATTACTCTAAACAACAATAACTCAACAATAGTTTGTGCAGCTGTGTAAAATTTATATACATATATACATACTTCATAATAGTTTATTTATTGATAGTATTAATGAAATTATTCAAGATTGTTATAAGTTCACTTTGTGAATGAATATTATAGAATTTATTAATCAGCGATTACTTCATTTCTCTAATAAGAGTTCAAGTCCTAAATGCTAATTGCAATGACAAACCGATTATGTCTGAAGTGTGACTTTAATTACATTATTATTTTCAAACATTATAAATAGTTTTATTGGTATTATAAATATATAATTTATAATTTTCACTATATAAATATGTATAATGGTTGACACTAATAAACGTGTGCATCATGAATGTTACCATATTACTAATAAACATTACACAAGATACTCTATATTATCTATATCCTGCGTATTTTATGGTGATGATTGTTTCTCGTTCAATCAAATATATCTTACATTAGTACAAAATAACTTTTAAATTAGAAAACTTAAATTAAAAACAGTTTCATGTTTGAAATATTGTCTTTACGTCATCAATATATTTTTATTGATTTTTAAATATTTTTACGTACAGCAGCAGTTGCTAAGAAATGAAATTTTATCATTATATGAATATTTTAACTATATTTTCTGTTTGAAATGAATGTGAGCATTCGATTTATAGAACACGAAGCGCAGACATTGCTAAGTGTTATGGAAAAACCATTCTAGTTCTATAAAAAAAAGCAAAATGCAATTCTAAATCAATGGAATATGGATAATATGTAAATGGTACACGTGTATGACATAATAATTAGAAGTAATTGAATATGCATGTGAAGTAAAAAATAAGTAAAATATAAGAGTAAATAAGTAAAAAATAAGAGTGGAATAATAACTTTTATTTCCTTATTTGTTTGATCATTATCTATTTTCAAATTAGTTGTTCCTAGAGTACAAAAAAATAAATTTATAAACTGTATACAGCGATGCACTTTTTAGTGGAAAAGAGTAGGAGTTAAATCAATTATCACTTAAAGTAATAGATCATTAGAACATTTTGTTTGATTCGTTTGCTATGAATTTGATCTAAAAACTTTCTTGATAAGCTATTAGGATGTTCAATTATTCTATTTTTATACTCTCATTATGCCTGAGTTCCTAATTCTGATGGAAACTGTCATTTTTCAGGTGCTGGTTTGACTGTTGATGATATATCAGCATTAGGAATTTCTACTCAAAGGTCAACTTTTATCACGTGGGATAAAAATACAGGAGAACCGTTTCATAATCTTATCACGTGGAAGGACCTTAGGGCTGACTCTTTAGTTAGAAAATGGAACAATTCACTTACAATGAAAGTATGTAGTATGTATTTAACTAATGGTATGAATATAACAAATAGTCTGTGATTTAATCTGGCCAGTACTTTAATTTTTTTGCACAATTTTAAATTAGTAAAATTTACCGACAAAATTCAACTGTTATATAATTTAGTACTAATATATTATCAACAAAAAAGAATAATGATCTCATTCATTCTGTACATTGATGCTAAAAATTAAAAAAAATATAATAGCTCTTTTTAAGCAGCTTTTTAGTTCTTATTGTTAATAAAATGGTGGTCACTCCCTGAACCAGAACTCGCTGAATGTTACTCCAGCCAAAGCTTCTATGGAAATAACATGGTTAAAATTCCATTTGTATAACTTACCGACAACTGAATCAAAATTTTGAAGAATAACATTGTTTTTGCTTATTTTGATCATAAATAAAAAAAATACAACAAAAATTTGATATATTTCATAAAATAAGTATTTATTTAGGACGAAGAACTAAGAAACTTTGGTTGGAGTGCGGACTATGTTATAGTTAATATTAAGAGCTACAACTTTCAGAGAATAGTTTTTTATCAATTTGGAAGCACTTGAGCCCCTGGATGCAAGGAAATTCGACATTAAGGACCGCACTTATCAATATATAAGTACACGCGATCTCAAATTTAAATTTAAAGGAATATCTTTGGCATTTTAGTACAAAAAACTTGCCATATATGATTTAAAAATCATAACACTGTGAAAACTTGTCAATAGTATGCCTACTATTAGTGTATAGTGTATCTATCACAATTCACATGTTCTGAAAATTTTCAGGCAATTCGCGTTGGATCATCGTGCTTACATCTTTTGACCAGAAACAAGCGATATCTTGCTGGAAGTGTATTAAAACTTATGAATACTCAGGTTAGCACATTATCATATATCTATATCTTATATATAAAAATGGAGCTCTCGATCAAATGATTCAGTAAAACTCGAAAACGGCTAAACCATTTGGCCAGTCTTCGTCTTGAAACATTCGTGCCAATCCGGAGAAAGGTGAGATATTATTTCAAATCCGCGTAGAAACTTTACATTTTTAATTTGAAATTTTTTTGTAGAAGCGTAATTTAAATAAAACAATGGACGGTGGCTAATACGTGATGCTAATAGATGATGTTCAATTACGTTTAATAGGATGTTTTACGTGAATATTATTTAATTTTGATTAAATTGTAGTAAGTAGTTTTATTTGTAGTTTTATTTATATACAAAAAAGTTAGTAAACGGGCTTGGTAGAATTTTATTTTATTATTCTTTGTTGATCTATTATTGTTGATATATATGCACTTAAATCTATTAATACTAGGCAAAATATTTTTATATAGATCTCACCATTAATCTGTCTAAAAACGGTCAAAACATTATTTTAAAAAAGTAGCAAAGATGTTATTGTTTATGAAAAAATGTATATGGAATAATGGAATAACATTCTAATACATCGTGTAATACATTTAGAAAAAGATATTTCGAGGATCATTCTTATATTTGTAAATGTTACCGTATACATAATCATCACAGATCTGTAACGCTCCTTATAGCTTGATTCGAGAAAAAATTTATATAGATTTCTCCTGTTTTTCTCGAGTCTACCCAGTCGTGTTTTCCATCCCTATTAATCTATCTCGGCCTCTGTAATAAGTAGTAATTTGATATTTGATTATTATGCGTAGGTTTTCGCATTGTAACTTGAATATCAATAATATTTTTACCTAAGATAAATCTTTGAAAATAAATTTTGTGCTACGATTTTTTTTCTTAACTAATTGTTCTCTATATTTGCTGACAAAACTCTGAAACCATACTCTGCTTGAAAAATAATAATAAAGATTGGTTATAAGAAAATATTGAACTATTTCAATATATGAATATGTCGTAGTAGTAATAGTAATATAGTTGTAATTATTATATAATGTTACCATCTAGACAACATTGAGGTTATGCTGGTGCATGCAGAACATAACTGCGTTACGGGAAGCTATTGCACAGGGTAATGCACAGTTCGGAACCCTGGATACTTGGTTATTGTATCGGCTGACTAAAGGACGGCTCTTCGCCACCGAGGTTTCCTCTGCCTCTGCGACCGGCATGTTCGATCCGTTTACTGGCCGCTGGGCTGGTTGGGCTCTCACCCTGTTTTCAATACCCGCTGATATACTGCCGCAAATAATGGACACGGCGGGAAGTTTTGGCAGCACGCATCCCGATATTTTTGGTTCTCCTCTTCGTATTGCGTGCTCGGTAAGTTTTATTCTGTCTCACACCTATATAAATAAGATTTAGATATCTATAAATATTACAAACTCGAGAATTAAAGTTACGAAATCAATAAACATTTCGGAAATATCGAAATTTCGAAACTTTTGAAAATTTTGTTCTATAGGGAAAAAAATCGATGGTTTCAAAAATATATCATAACAGTGTTTATAAAGTTTTTGAAATCGTCCAAACGATATTTGGACCAAAACGACAAATCTAAATGATCTAAATCGAATATTGATATTTAGACAAAATTATGTTTGTGTAACGCACAGAGTTGGTATTTAAATTACACAGGCCAACAAAAAATTTTTTTTTGTTTGGTGCATCAAATGTTAGAGCTGATTCTTATAGTATTTTTTGCGCTGATTTCAAACCTGCAAACCATTTCAAACCTGCTCTAGTTTTTGAGATACAAAGAAGTTGCCGAAACCAGGTCCATTCAAGGTCGTCACGGAAAAGAACTTTTCACAGTGTCAACTAATGCCCCAACTAAGGCCGAATGGATCTTGTAAGTTTGTATGTACGAGTAGGCATATCTGATTAAAATAACATTCTGGATTGTATTACTATTTTGTACTTTCGTTCCTTATATTAGGTGCGCAACTAAGTTCTCGCTGTTTGTCAGTATATGGCTCTAGCAGTAAGGGTTGTTCGATTTTGACAAATCCAAAACGTCTTGAAGCAAGCTTAGAGTAAGTAAACAAACTGCTGCGACACATAATTGATTTCGTTTTTGCATTATATACTTCTGGTTAAGTGAATATGTCCAATTTTATGCCAAACAATTGTCATTTGCGGGGAGTGTTGATTTTAGTCTTCCATTCAAAGAAAACGGCAGCTGAAGTGCATCGAGAGCTACGGAAATGTTACTCTGAGCGAAACAACATGCCATGAGGGGTTTTGTCGCTTTAAAAATGGTGATTTTGATGTTGACGATCACCCTCGTGAAGGAAGGCTAAAACCTTCAAAAACGTTAAATTGAAGGCCTTGTTCGAAGAGGATTCGTGCCAAACTCAAGAAGATCTTGCTTCAGAATTAGGAGTTACCTATCAATCCATTTCCATGCTATTGCATGCGTTGGGGATGATTTAGAAGCAAGAAACTTCGGTTCCTTGTGAGTTGAAGCCAAGAGACGTCGAGCGTCGTTTTTTCGCCTGTGAGCAACTGCTCCAGCTGCGAGAAAAGAAGTTCTTCATCACATCGTGACAGGTGATAAAAAATGAATACATTACAGCAATCCAAGGAGGAGAAAATCTCGGTTCGGCTGAATATTCACTGCGAAGGTTATGCTCTACATATGGTGGGACCAGGTCGGTGTTATTTGTTATGAGCTGTTGAAACCAAGCGAAACCATCACTGGAGAACTGTATCGAACTCAATTGATGCAATTTTTTTTTATAATAAAGTTACATTTTCATCGAAAAATCAGCGAGAACTTAGTTGTGCACCTAATATATCATATATATTATATCTTGAAAACTAAAGCTCATAGAAAAAAAAACAATGTCATTTTTGAAATCAGCGCCCCAAATATACTTAAAAACAGCATTAAAATCGTTTGCACCATTTTCTTTGTTGACCTGTGTTATTTATACTCAATGTTAAAATATTATGGACATCCGATATAACAATTTTTGTCTTCACTTTCATCATTCAACCGTGCATGGACCAAATTAATTTTGTACATCCACAAAGAATGTGAATTTTCTGAATCATTTTAAATATTTGAAAATAAAAGAAACTTACTGCGCTGTACTGCGTCCCAAGTTAGGTAAAATACAAATTCATTGCATTTCTGAAGAAAAAATGAAATTGAATTGAAAAGGAAGTAGTTTGATTGAAGGAGCTTAAAGGTCTACCACCATTATCTCAAAAACAAGTAAAGTCAGGAATGTTTTAACAATATTTGAAAGTAGAGGGTAAGAGATGTGTAACTAGCCATCACCTTTACGATGTCGCTATCAGGATAATAAACGGCAGTGTTTCAAAAACCATAACAAAAGTATTTTCTTTTGTTAGTTTTTTTTTGATTATGAGCACTGTTGTTTAGGTTATGCGATAATTTTAAAGAATACGTTATTTAATTGTTTTACAGGACATATTGATATTAAGTTAGATTCAACCATCATTTCATATAACCTTTATACATGCTTACATATGGGTGGCGTAAAAAGGACCAACTGAACCTTTACTGTGGCAAAGGCGTAAACAATAAAAATAGTAAATAAATTTTTTTTTTAAATAAAAAAAAAGTTCTACAATGGCGAATTGGTTGCGAGTTTTACTGAACATAGTCAGATAGTTTGATAGTATGGTATTTGCTATGATGTAATTGGTTTGGTTTTCAGAATATAATTGCTAAAGTTAAATTGGATCTTTGTGCCCCGCCCTATCCTATAGTTTAAATTGATGTAATAAAACATGTTAAAACATTTAAAGTAAAACTTGGTAATACGAACTTAGTTTTCAAAGATAATTAGATTAGTTTTGTGTAATATATAATTGGTCATTTGATAGATATTATCTATTGTTTATACTATTTGGTCTTACGTGGTTATCGTAACACCCGCTTATTCAAGAACAGATTGGCTTGACATAATTTTGCTTTAACTAATTGAAAAATATATATTTTGCACTGTTGTGCTATATGTGGTATATTTGTTTATAATATTTTATGAAATCACTTTCTTATATACTATTACTACTGGTCTTGTTACCTAAAAATATTGTAAACTATTAAATAATAGTATTTTTAGTTTATTTTACTTCCGATGCGTATGGATCAATTTATCTGTAATTGTTAATCCGAATCAACAAGTCATAAAATATAATAGCAACACCAATATGTATGCGGATATGCACATATTCTTATATTGGGTTGGGGAAAAAGAAATCCATTATTTTTACGTGAACTTCAAGACTTTATTTAACATGTTTTGCATTGTCCGATTTAGGTCAAATATGCACCATTTTGTTCTATAATTTGTTGCCATTTTAATGGTAGCTTCATTATGCCTCTCTCATAAAAGTCTTGGTCCTTATTAGCGAAAAACTCCAGCAATTGATTTTCACACTCTTCCCTTCATGCCAATTTCTTATCACTAAAAAAGTTTTGCAATGCAAGAAGAAGATGGTAATCGCTTGGTGCGAGGTCCGGATTTGGTGGATGCATCAAAACTTCCCACCCAAGCTCCTGGTTGGTCTGAATTTCTGACGAGTCACTATAGAAGTGTGTGGCCTGGCGTTGTCCTGATGGAACACGACACCTCTTCTGTTGGCCAATTCTGGCCGTTTCTGGTCTTTGACCACGATCGCTTTCGCATAACCATACAGTCCGGACCTCGCACCATCTTTTACCATCTTTTTCTTGCATTGCAAAACTTTTTTAGTGATAAGAAATTGGCATCAAGGGAAGAGTGTGAAAATCAATTGCTGGAGTTTTTCGCTAATAAGGACCAAGACTTTTATGAGAGAGGCAATAATCTTATGGCTAATTTATATCTTATGGCTTTGATTTATGAAATTATACAAAACGTAGAAAATAAATTTATGATTATATAAAAATAACAAAAAATACTTAAAACTTAATTTTTCTTGAAAATCAAATGAAATATTGGTGAATATTTTCAACGTTAGCATAATTGGAAATTAAAATAAAACGTATTTTTTTAAGGAAATGGAAAAAAACATACCATTTTCTTAGATCTACTTTTTTACTGTATCTTTATAAATATTCATGTTTGAATCAATACCCTTGATTGAAAACAGTATTGAAAAGTATTCGTTTTCTCGACAATCCAATCCATTTCAATTCTTTTTGAGCGACTTTTTTATCAAGATGAAGACATTCGTTTGTTCTTGAAGAAGCAATAGGGTAAACCCTGAATATATTCAGAATGAAATAAAAATAAAATGTTAACTTCAATAAGCTATTTAGTAAATAAAATCTTCAAGTCTAGTTGAAACGCTTAATGATTAACTCCGACTTTGGACTTTAAGGAGAACTTGAAAAATATAAAATATAGGTTTCAAGTAAAATAAAATTTATGTACAATGTAAAAATATATTTCTCAGCCCCCCGCGGCTTTCTCGGCCTTGGCCCTCTTGGGTCGAGGGCCCGTGGCATTTTGCCACCTACGTCACCCTATAGTTACGCCATTGCATTTTGCCAAAGGTGAAATTCACATACTTACTTTTTTTCAATGTTGATGTCAAACGATTTGTGATGAATTGAAACGTCGAGAAAATATGAAATAGCAAGTCGGATTTACTAGCAAAAATACTTTCAACATTCGAAAAGTTGATTAATAATGACCTAATAAATTTTAAATAATATCTTTTGGTGTTTTGAACAGATATCTGATCAGTCGGCATCCATGTGGGGATCGCAATGCTTTAGTAAAGGCGATTTGAAAGTGACGTTAGGAACGGGAAGTTTCCTAGACGTTAATACAGGATCAACGCCTCATGCTTCCGTGTCGGGTCTTTATCCGCTTGTTGGCTGGCGTTTGTTCGACGGCGAAACGGTTTATGTTGCTGAAGGAGCGGCCAATGATGCAGGATCGTTGATTCAGTGGGCCATTAAAACTGGTATTTACATATAATATGCTTGAATAACAAATGATTGCTAATTATATTTTTGTATAGTTTAAAAATGACAATGACTGAATTTATTCTATAAATCTATTTTCCCTAATGTGGTATTTAGTGAGAAACAATATACGAGGGAGCGTTTTTATATTTGCGGAATCGAGGATAAGGGTTTGAAATAAAAAAAAACGAAATTATTCTATCTTTTCAATGTATTCATCTGCAAGGCGTATATACTTTTCAGATATTTCAATTAGTTTATTTATGTATAGTATACTCTTATAAAAAATATTTTCTCTTTATCAGCAAAATATGCCTAAACCGCCTCCTTGACTTCATCATCGGTTGTAAATTGTTTACCCCGCAGCTATTTTTATATTTTTGGAAACAGTTAATAATCACTCGAGAATAGAGCTAGACTGTAGGCAAACCCACCTTATGCAGCGCACTCAGCGCAACGCGGCTCCTGTGGAAGGGCGCATTGTCGTCAAAAACAGCACGTTTCTTGTGATTTTACCCCGTCTATTGTCCTTAATGACTACTTTTGTTGCTCTAAAATTAAAGCCTAGTATTCTTCTGTTATAGAAACGCCTTTATCTTTATAATGAATCAATAATACTTCTTCCGAATACCAAAAGACTGTTGGAATGATTTTCCCAGTGAATAAGTGATACCTTAAACTTCTTGGGAGTTGCTGTTCCCTTTCGTGTCATTAAATGAAATCTTGTTTTGACTCAGGATCATAATGATGAACTAGAGTTTCTTTTCCAGTAATAATTGGACTCAATTCGGCATCCTTGTTTTCATTACAGAAGTTCGGAAATGCACGTGAACACTACGCGTTTTTGTTTTTGCGGCGGCGTCAGTGTTCTCAGCACCCATTTTTCGCTGACGTCAGCCATACCAAGGTGATCGTGCAGGATTTAAAAAATTGTTGTGTCTGGTACTTCAACAATTTCTGGAAGTTATACTTCTTTAGTCGAACATCGTCGAGTACCATTTGATCAACTTTTTGGATAAGTTTTTGGGTCGTCCTTAAGGGAGTCTCTTCTTTTTTAAATAGAATGTGTCACTTGTATACCATGGTATTTTCTGTACAAGAATCAACATAAAGCAATTAGATCTCATTCATTATGATCGTAACCGATTTTCGTAGCTTGGTGAAAAACTTTCTAATGGCGCGATATTCGATTGTTCCCTTATTTCAGTTTCCACTTCCAAATATATTGGTTGTATATAGTTCGAAGAATAAATATCTCATAAAAATAAATCAATAGTATATATACTACGATTACGTTACGATCTCCCTTTCCTCTATTTTTTTTTAAATTGTGTTTACAGTTTGTCATTAAAATTATATGAAAAACTATGTGTGATGACGCCTCCTCGAAGTTGCGCCCGCATTTTTTGCATATATTCTATATATATATATATATATATATATATATATATATATATGTGTGTGTGTTGAAAATGTTTAAATTTGATGTTGAAATGTATGATTGATTTCTTGGAGGGCGTAACATCAAGTAAAAAATAAGTAAAGTAAAGATTTTTTTCAAAACATCTTTATTTTCCCATACGTTTCGACGTAAAATTCTACGTCATCTTCAGTGGTTTTGAATTATTTATATTATCACTAACAAGGACAAATGCAAGTGGCACGAACGCCTCGTACAAGAGTGGTTGAAGTGGAATTGATCAAAAGGAATATATATATATATATATATATATATATATATATATAAAATTTTGCCTTGCATCGAAGTTGTATTCCAGAATTTTGGTGAAAAGAAAGAAGAAGAATAAGTAAGAAATGAAAGTAGAATAATAAGTAAGGTTTAATATTTGGTTAATTAGAACTTGCAGCATCGCCATTAGTTTGCCAACAAAGAGTGTGGCCAACAAACGTTTCCTAGGAGTCTTTTTTTCGGCTATCTTCGAGTATACTCTTCGTCTAGCATAGATTTCCTTATCTACAACCTGGTAGTGTCGATAGTAATGGAAGGTGATCTATAGGGGTATGCAACTGGTATAACAACAGGGACAAGGCAATAAATTGAAAGCCAAGGCACAATGCACGGAAACATGGATGCAGAAGTAAAAAGTGATAGAGGGATAAAATAAATCCAAAACATTTTGCAATTGCTTTCGGGCAAAGCGCCGATGGTAAAATAATAATATTTTATCTTAATAGCGTAAATTGACTTCTTAATTCAGCGTTCTAGGTGCAGCAGTTTTATAGACACCGTTTTATTATTTTTGTTAATGTTATCAAAATATATAAAAAAGTATTAAATCTGGTAAATACATGATTTTTTGACAGATCTCGTGAAAAATGCGGATGAAACTTCAAGTCTGGCTAAATCTGTTGATGATTCTGATGGTGTATTTTTTATTCCAGCCTTCAGCGGACTTGGTGTAAGTTTGAAATTTCGTTTATTGAAAATCTTAAAATTCTTGATTTAAATTTGAATTCTGTCATTATAATTGCACAATTTATTTATTAATCTGGCATTATCAATAACGTCTTGTCGATTATTTACTACTATTTTTCTGCGTTTCGTTTCGTTCGTTATTGACAAACAATCCTATGATTGGTCAAATGACCAGTTTCAATCAGTTACGAGAACAGAAATATATTTGTTGGTTTGAGAATGGAGAATGCTCCGTTTGACGCCGATGATTTTCATGGAATCGCCTGTTCTTCAAAATATTAATATATAAACGAATGGTTTGATCAGAAAATGAGTGTACGTATCGTTGCAGGCACCTGTTCACGATCACCGAGCAGCCACCGGCTTTCTAGGTTTGCGCCCTACGACAACCCGTGCGCATATGATTCGGGCATTGCTTGAGAGCGTCGCTTTCAGAGTAGCTCAACTTTATGTTTGCACCAAGCGAGAGGTCGGTTTTGCGTTTAAAAAAATACGGTATGATTTTTTTTATCCTTACAAAAATATGCTATCAATGTTTCACAACTTGATTGAAAAGTAAAACAAAAAGGCTCAGTAAAATATAATTATTTTGCAATAAAAATTCTTTTTATCAGAGTTGATGGTGGTGTATCACGCAATTCCTTCCTCTGTCAATTATTGGCAGATTTGACAGCACTACCTGTAGAGCGGGGGCCTCCAGAAATGTCTGTGTTAGGAGCGGCGCTTTTAGCAGGATTAACCGTTGGTAAATTACAATTTTTATGTTGCACCTATTTTACATTATAGACAGAGAGCTTTATATAAATGAAAACATATTTCTTGCATATAAACTTTTTTCATATTCAGTAATTATTATGATTTAATTGATGGACAAATTTACAAACTTTCTTAATTGTTTAGATTCAACTTAATAAACCTATTCTTGATTTAAAGGTATGTGGAGGTCTAAAGATGAATTGCATTCGGTACACAAGACAAATGACACATTTCTGCCGAACTTGCATCGACACGAAAGTATCGTAAATACCATGGAACAATGGGAGCGTGCCGTTGAAAGATTTCGGGACTGGTACGAACCCCAAAGCATAGAGTCAAAACATCTTAGGCACAATTTAAATACGAAGATATCAGAAAAGTGATACTGTAAATATTTTATATTTTACCTCCAGTTTTCTCTGATACATACAGACTTACAAACATCATAAATAATACTCTCAAATAATAGTATGCCCATATTGTAGAATTTGTAACATTCCCCTTGTATTTTTGTTAATGAATATCAATGATTTTTTATGAAGTACTGTGAGATGTAACATTGAAGCATGTATAGTTTTATTTTGTTATAAATATTTGTAAGATTTTATAAACAATTTTATAAAAATATTTTATTTATTTCTTTTCTAAAGAAAATTTTTATATATTACTGAAATCTTGTAGATACAACATACCTAGACAACTAAATAGCGCAAACTCTCATGCAACATGACATCGAAGTAGTAGGTTTGTTGAATCATTGTATTAGGTTGATTAGTTCTTTCACTTTTTTATCCGTAGTTCTTATACTGCTGGGCGGACCATTGACTTATATTTCTCAAAATCTGAGCAAGTGAGCATAACGTGTAGTAGTACAAAATCCTTAAGTCCATAATCCAATGACTTGAACTCAAAATATTGACTTACGAATTCTTCAACTAAAAGTGATTCAATAATTAAAATATTTGCTGAAATGGAATTTCGCTAATTTTCTGTGTAATTCTTAAGAATTTTGAAAAAAGATAACAAGCATATATCAAATACTTTTCTCTTTCACATCAGTTATTTTCCGTATGAATGAAATCAAGTGCTATAGGAATAAGTTTTGAACAAGTATATTAATTCTTAACTTCACTTATTATTCACTCTTATTTTTTTCTTTAATTACCGTTTCTTAGTTTTTAAATAAATATTTAACTTTAATTGGATATGACAAATGCATGTTGTTATTTATTATGTCATGTCATTTGTTATATATTATTGAATATATTTATACTCATATAAGGTAAAAAATATGCATGCACTCTAATTTGTAATAATTATTACATACCCAGCCATTACATTCATCATGTTCAACACTTCAATAAGGTATTCAAAACCACGTTTGAGTAATAATTATGCAATACAAATAGTTTTCTTAAACATTTATATCTTGCATATCAATATATACTAGATATGTTTTATATATGATATTTGTCATATTCTAAGTTATATAAATCAATGAAAATAAGTACAACCTTAAAATACCACATTTTGCTTTATTTAGAAAGTTCATAATTAGTATTTTATTCATTTTGATTAAAATAAAAAAAAATTGTTTTTACCGTAAACAGAATTCTAATTAACATAAGCACATTTTTATTTTGCTATCAATTATTTATCCTATATCGTTTCCTGGCTAGACTGTGAATAGATACCATGACGTGTTAATGCATGGTATAACCTACTAAAATACACATTTTGCACTATGAACCTTAATTCTTTTTTCCTGATCTTGTGGCTTAAATCCTTTTCTATTAAATTTGGCTTCAATGAAAGTGAAAGACATTATTTCCACATACATTTTACATTTTTAAAGTTATTCTTAGTAGATTTTTTATGATAAAATTTTCAATAATTTTGTAATAAATAAAGTTTTTGTAACTTATAGACATTGTGTTGACAAGATAATTGCACCTAAATCTGCATTTCAACGCATGTTAAACCATAGCTGGTTTCTTCGTCTTTAAAATATCTCATTAAGACTATAATCATGAATATTTTATTTATGTGATATTAAGGCAAATAATATTTTAAAGTAAAAACGTAATTATCTTATACTAAGTTTATTTTTCTTAAAAAAAAAAAGATTATCACGTACACATAAATTACACATTTTTAATTTAAAATTATCATACACCTTTACGATATTTCTCTCCATGGCTGAATTCAGTCATTGGTTTCCCTGACATTCCACATGTTCCAATACCCACTCTTCCGTTAACATTATCTGGTGATGCAAATATACTTTTTGGTTTTAATCCACTTTTCTTCAACGACTTTGAACTAAATGCTAACCATTTATTTTTCTCAACTTCTCTTTCTGCTTCAATTTCTTTGAAACGCTGTTGTTTTTTCTGTTTCTTCTTTTTCAAATATTCTCTTTGGTTTAATCGACCTTTCCTGAAAGTAAAACAACATATTTGATTTAAAAAGTTATGCTTTGTCATAAGTTTGTTTAACACAATTAGAAACTATTAATGAATATGTTGAATTTTAGATGAACAAATTCTGCAAAATATTGACATACATATTTACATGTTATTCACATTACTATTTCATGATTATTAAATCTTGGGATGTATAATGCACATAGTTATAACCTCCCTCTTTTTTTGAGAATAAAATAAATGAATAAGCAGAATAATTTATTTCTTGCATTGTGTATTTTAAAAATGTTGCTCGGTATTATTTTAAATGCAAAAAAAAAAATTTAAATCATACTTCATTGCTGATCGTTCATCCTTGCTTGCATCCTTAGAAACCTCTTTCAAATCTTCCAATCTGGTTGTGTCTCTATTTTTGTATGCATCAAATATTACATGAACTTCTCCATTTTCCGTTATTGCTTCTATAGATGCTGAGTAATATCTATACAACAAAATAATTTTAGCACATTCTTATTTTATATTATAAACTTTGGAAAAGATATATGTCACAAATTTTGTTTACTAAAAATTATACCAGCAAATTTGAATAAAGGTTTTCTGTCAACTTACTGTCCATCCTCACTCCATTTGGCCATACACCGTTCTCCAACATTCCACTGTCTTGTCTCCTTTGGTAAAATATATCCTTCTGCAGCTAAGAGACTCGCAGTAACATCATCATCATCAAAACTAAGATGTGCAGTTGTAGCCTTTGCAGCTTTTGATGAAACTTCTAATTGACTTTTTATCAAATCCCGAGTAAGATCAATAACTTCTTCAAGATCAGTTTTCAATTTTAGCAATTCCTCATTATCAGGATCTGTTAATAATGCAGCTTCAACCTGGAATCAAATCATACTAAAACCACACTAACTTATTGATATCATATTCTATTACACATTTTATAAAGAAGCATGCGAATGCGAGTTGAAATATTATTTTTATTAAACATTTTTCTTAATATGTACCTGTTGTAATTGTAATTTATAGTTTTGTAAGTCATCAGCCATTGTTTCTGCAAATTGGTTTGATTTAAAACAATATATTCACAAAACTTTCAGACAATAGGAAAAATATTATTTGTACATAAGCCTGACTTATTGGCAGAACAATTTTGAGTTGTCAAAGTGTCATGAGTATGAAGTTCATGAGTATGAAAAATTTCATTATGCGTGTTGGCGAACGTGTATCAATTCCCGCGAAGGTTCGACAACATCTTATCAACTTATTTTTAACAAAAGTGTAACTGAACCACTCAATATTGTAAGTTGAAAACAATGGTAATCAAATATGTAATGGTACGGTCGCAAAATATAACCGATGACAGTTTAGGAATCAAACCAATTGTATACGCTTCTTTTATCTATGAAACCAATCTTCAAGACTGACAGCACAGCGACGCCATTACCGTGTTGAGATCTCGGTATTAATTCTTAAGTTGGTAGCAATTTATTATCGTGTCTGCCTGCGCGTATTTCATTTCTCTTTTTTGTACTGTAGTAATAATATACATCTCATTCCGTCATAAAAACTTGTCAGCTTTGGTTCGTTTGTCACTCCTCAACAATGGCGTGACAAAGCCTTTTTAATTGAATTATGAACTTGTGGAATGATAAAAGTTTGTGTAGTATAGTATTTTTGACATCTGTACGTTTTTGTTTTTTTGGATCTAATAGTGTATAAAGAAATTTTACTTTAATTTTTAGTTTACCTTGTTTTGTGAAATGGCATACCTTGCACAATGCATCAAATTGTCAAGGTTTGGACAATTTATTTCGACTAAAAATTTGTTTGTGATTAGTTTTCTACTATGTATGCAACTGGTGAGTTATATTTATAACAAATTATTGATAGCAATAGTAATTATTAATTTACAATCATAAATTAAAATCGAATTTGTGCTATTTAGTTCTTGAAGCGTTTTTTTGAATGGGAGGTTTAGACATTTTCGTACAAAACAAAACCCGAAAATTCTGATTTGCAAATTATATCAGGTGCGGAATTAATTGATAAACTATCTCCATAAGTAATTGTTAATTTGGAACAGAGAACTATATTTTATTGATATTTTGTAAAAATTAGAATTTCTTACTATCAATTCTTAGAATATTATGGAATAATATTTCAATATTTTTATCTTCATTTATCAGCATATATATATATATATATATATATATATATATATAGTTTTATTATTATTAATAGTAATAATAAACAGTGACATGACAGAACATAAAGAGGCGTGTGATGTCGGTAATATACAAGTAATAATGTAATCAATATTGTTCGCATTTCAATGCCTTTTATGTTATATGATATTGTTGATTTATTAATCGTTCCATCAGTGTTAAGATCCGCGATTTAAAACATAGTATGTAAATAGTTTTTGGATCATTTTTCATCGATATAAAGTGCTTGTAACTAACATTAAATTTCATATGTTTTTTAAATTATTACGCATTTTCTTGTAATAAACTAATATTTTGTCGTTAAATGGATAAAATTATTCGAGTAATCCCTTATTTGAAATCTATAGAAAGATGAATTCAAATAAGTCTTTTGTGCTTCCATTTAAACAAATAATAAAGTGACTTGAATTATTTTCGTTTTTATGGAGTAGCCGTTTATCATTATAATATACATATAATACTTCAAATATAGTTTTGAACCGGCATACGAATTTTCTATAATTTGTTATCAATCAAACATTCGAATGAAGCAGACACAAAGCGTAATTATACAAATTTCATACAATTTTGAAAACTTTTGCAATTTCAAATTGGAACAAATTAAAACAATAATAAATAAATAATACTCAATTTTAAAGCTATTGTATACAAAATGCACAGCAAATAAATCATGTCCTACAGTTTTACATTTTTCGGAGATGCTTTGTATCATATAAACATTTTATGTCAGTGAAGAATTAGATACACTTCGAATTATTGCTTTATCCATAGGCGTGCCCTATTTTGAATTTACTCGTACTGCAAACCACAAGGTTTTAATAGTATTTGAGTCATAATAGGTTTGTATTTCAAAGTTCAATATTATATATATATATATATATATATATATATATATATATATCTGAATTATTTATTCAGTATTTACCCAGAAACACGGTGACTCAATACCAGTTAAACAATTAGCATTGATAAAAAGAAATATCATTGCCTGAATGCAATATAGAGATAATTGAATTATTTTAAATAGAACTAACAAAGAACGAAAACAAGTATTAAAAAAAGCAGATAATTATATTTACACAAATCATGTCGAATATAGTTGCTCCAGTCTAATAGCCTTACCGATCTATTTAAAAATAATGTTTCAAGTTGCTTAATTATCAAAACAATTAAAGTCTCAATACATACGAAGTACGAAATTACACGTAAAAATATATTTATCTTATATTTTTATTGATATTCTTATGTTAAATTATGTTCTTTACCGTACATATTTATATTTTTGAGTTTTCATGTTTTTAAATCCATACATATTATGTTTGTTTATTAAGTTAAGATTAAGATTGTGATTTACCACAGTAAGGTCAAGGGCAAAGAATTGAGATGTCGAAGGTTAATATGTAATCCGTTAGCTAGACACAAAAATTGAATCGGATCATCTTGATACCTTATCGTTAATAAATTTGTTTTATTGATAAACACATTAAGTGTTAATTTTCAAAATTTTATAGTGAGATGTGCTACAAAATTGTTTGCCGAATATAATGCACACACTGAAAAAAATTCCAAACCTTCTTATGAAAATCTTAATGATTTATTGTCATACATCATGACATCTGTTTCTTAACTTTTCGAAGCAGTTTGTTTTTGTCAAAAAAGTTCGATTTGCTAATTTTGTTTTCTAGTTGTTTCAAGTTATTCTGAATCATTTGACACCAAAATTTGCAAAAACGTATGCGTGTGTGAATTCGAAATTTCGTCGACGTTTTCTCAAAAACGGCTTTATAGATTTCAAAAAATTGTCATGTGACAAAATTCGATAAGGGATCAATTGATCGACCGATTCGTTTCTTTAGAGATACGTGCAAAATCTTTTGCCTGAACTAATTTTGAAAATTCAAAAGCCTGTTGGTAAAAATAAACGGCTTGGCTGTCTCTTCTTAATTATTGAAAAGTTTTTTTTCTAAACTTTGTATTAACATAAGATTTATGGTCTTAACAAACCTCAACACAAAATGCCACTTTACACCTATCTGACATTATATGATTTTCAACTATTCCATACTCCAAGGAATACTAAAAATCGTTAAATCTACGGACCAAGGTCAAGAACACATCATTTACAAATGAACACGTCTGGTTTCATTTATTTTGCGCAGCATAATTATTACTTGCGATAGATTTCTAGATATAGAATCAAGTGGACAGTTTCGATACCAAAAATACAAAATGAAATTGTTAAAAACAATTTAGAGAAATACTATAATACGCCGTTGAAGAATATCGAAATATTGATAAACGGGAGCCATCGCCCATTTCGATATACTAATTTCGTCTATTATTCACATTTATGTAATAGACTCAAAGGCATGTCAGTGAACTGAATCAAACTCCAACTTGGTCAAGCATAATAGGGCGAGAGATTTTGCATTTTTAAATTTTTATTACTTTATGATTTTCACATACATATTACTTTTCCTTACATATTTGATACATTCACTTTTTCCTAATACTTGTGCTGCAGCAATGCTACGAAAGGCCATTTTCACTGGAGATATCATAATTGGTATCTATGATTTCAGTGAAAATCTGGTCACATCGGAGTGCCCGAATTTAAATTTTCAAGTGAGTTGTGGCGACAACGTAAATTGTTTTCTAGTTAGTTTGATGTCATGTTATTGATTTTGTATTATTCAATATTGAAACATCAAGATCAACATTTTATTTCTTCTAATTACGTAAAATACCTCTAATTACGTAATTACGAACTCTGGGCCGGTCCTACCGTGAATGCAATGCATGCGAAAAATGCGGGCGCACGCCTTATGGGGCGCCAAAGCGAGATTCGGAAATAAAATTTATTATATCTTCTATATATATAAAAATAAGTCGGGTTTTCCTTCCTGACGAAATAACTCCAGAACGCACGAACCGATTTCGACAATTTTGCATTCGTTGGAAAGGTCTCGGTTTCTACAAGGTTTATAGCTAAGAAAATTAGTGGTGCATGGCATCGTGCCTTAATGCAAATTACTGGAACTTCACGCACCGTAATTAAAAATTCGAGTAATGACATTAGTGAGAATTATCAGAATTATGCTTGGTTAAGTCAACGAGCAATTCTTGCCGTAAAGAATAATGATGTACACGCACTGAATTTCCACCATTCAATCAAAAATTGCTGGCGATTTGGTGAATTAAAAATTCGAGTAATGACATTAGTGGAGAATTATCAGAATTATGCTTGGTTAAGTCAACGAGCAATTCTTGCCGTAAAGAATAATGATGTACACACGCACTGAATTTCACCATTCAATCAAAAATTGCTGGCGATTTGGTGATTAATAGATTATAATAAATAATCTAACTTAACTATGGGTACAAAGATACAAAAAACATATTTAGTTAGCAATGTGATATCAGTAGAAACAATTAACCGATTAATAACTCTGCAAATTAGTAAATATTGCTCTGCTTATTGCTTAATCTCTTATTAAATTTTTTCTTTGTTTGAAGTCAACGTGGAATCGAAAAAGAAAACATCTATTGTTGAATCCCATAAGCGCAAACCTGCGAAAGATTAAATTATTTATTGGGCATTATTGACGAAAAATTGCGAGCTGGTTGAAACAGAACTTGTTAAAAAAAAATAGATACAAATTATAATATAAACAATGGAAAATGGGGTGTCAGTGCTTAGAAAATGGCTTATTTATTCTGAGAAATGAATTGTAAGCGTGTGCTAATGCTAATACTGTTTACTGTACACTAAGTACTAGGATTGATTATTATGTTTTTTTGTTTGAAAGTAAGTAGATTTAAGCCAGTGAAGCTGGGCTGCACTACGGCTTTATAACCCATTCTGTGTAGTTTTTCTTTTGTTAGTTATGTCTAATCAAAGTTCATGGTGTCGGGCGATTTCGCTTTTCATAATGTACCTTCACATTCTCTTCACTTTATACTTATTGTTATTAATTGAATTTGATTTAGTGCTCCGTGCCACTATTGGTAACTGCAGAAACGTACTAATAACTAATTGTATATCGTACTGTTAGGTGTTAAATTCAAGGAATGTTCAAATATTGCTATAATATCTGCAAAGGTTTTTTTTTATTAATGCAGTTATTATTTAAAAAAAAATGGATTTTTAAAAATGAATCAGGATTATAAAGAATTACTAAATATTTCATATATTTTTTATAATTATAGTATAGTGTATATAATTATAATCTTTTTTAATTATAACATGGGTACTATGACTAAATTAAGCGAATACCATAAACTCATCCCCATACAAGACATAACAGTATCATATAATGAAAGCTATAACACTATCTAATGAAATTTTCAATAAGAGTTAAAAATGCAATGCATAATATGTGTATTATCTGAATTCCAGTTTTTCAATAATTATTTAAATTACTAAATTTGCATTTCTATTACATTATTTCTAGAATACAATTAAAGATTTTACTTGACATAAATTTGCGAAAATACTTGTAAACAATCATTAAATTTGATGGACTTTACCTAAATTCGAACGCATGTTTTTCAAATAATGTACGAATAATGTTATAAAAATAAATGCTTGTCTTAAAAATTCAATCCTTTATTTAAGCCTAAATATTATGGGT